GAGAATGCCTCACCAAGAGTTTTGGCTCAACAGATCTTTATTGGTGAGGAGGTTGGGTGAAGATTTTGGACTTGTTGGCTGATCTTCATCTTCCCTACTGGTCTTTCTTTCTAAAGTAAATGAAAATGTGAACCATTACATAACAGTGTTTCCAGTAAGTATTGCTCTAAGCTTCCCATACCCAGGGATTGTGGCATCACTCTGCAGATTGCTTAATTGTTTTGAACCTGAACAATAAGACCTTGGAGATAGATGTTTTTCTATCAGATAAAAGGCTAAAAATATTTCCAGCTACAACATGTCACCTAAATTTACAAAAAAAAACAGTCAGCTTGTCTTTGCTGGCACTGGAGTCTAGAGGTAGGAACATTAGGCCTAGGCATCTCTGCAATGAGCCTATGATATTGTTCCTTGGTCAGACATGGCTAAGTCATATCAAATGAAGTAAGCATAAAATATTTCCTTTCACAATATAACAGTGTTAAATGAAAGCCTGTATTGTAGTTGCAGAGAAAAGTGTCACTATTAACCTACGTTAAACCTCTTAGCACAAAAATATGAGCATGGTTATTACTGGTTTCACCACTACAAGTATCAATTTTGCCATTTTTAACTAATGGTCATATGCAAATAAATGAGTTTGTTCATACCTGGTGTTTTACTATTAAATTTCCTTAGCAGTTCACCCTGTAGACCCCTGTTCAGTTCTTTGTACTGGCCTCATTCAGTCTTTAATTTATTGTTTCCACTCTTAATAAGTGAATTCCTAGCTTCAGCTTCTCTGTACCACTATTTGGCCTGCTGAAATTTGGTCCTGCATTAACAATTGTAGATATCACCCTGTTCAGATGATGCAGCAAAGAGTAGAGCCTTTTTCTTCTTTGCTAAGTTTCCATGCATATTGCTGTCAAGCTGTTTACCTTTGTTGACTCTTGATCTCTTTTCCTTTGTTTCTGCAGTCAAATATTAAGATATATTGCTATGGATCTTGATAGCAAGTCATTTCTAACATTAACACCTTCAGAAGTATTCAATGAAATGCAAATTTAAAAAAAAAATTTTTCTAACTACAACTTCACTCTTTTTTTTCATCTGTTTCCTATTAATTTAGACTTTGTTTCCTGAAACACTACCTGAATAATACCCAGTTGTGGACATTACTCTTTCTTGAGGGCTTGCTCAAGCACAAAATGAAACACTATTTGCAGTACAAGAAAGCCACCATTTTGCTGAAACCCTATACTGAATAACAAAACATACCATTTCTTTTGTTATTTGAAATTGTGATAGGCGATGGTCTACTTCCCTCTCTTCGGACGATTCTTCAACACTTGTGTTGAGGACCTAGGGGATCTTAATGCAGGAACTATTGAGTTTTTTCTGCAGCTCCTCCCTGAAAACTGTTCGAGAAAGTTGATAATAACACTGTTATATTATGAGGTGTTTTTCAATGTGATTTTGCATAGAAATTTTATGAAATGAAATTGGCATACGAATTGGCCTATTATTTGACATGATAATTGATAATCGGTTGATTGACTTTTGTAGTGATCAACTCAACACTAGAAAATATGACACATTTTTGCAAGTTTACTTGGATTTTTCATGCAAATAGGGCCTTTGAAACAAATGGTTTGCAAAATTTTATAAGCAACAATTCTAAATGTGATGTACACATTAAAATGATCAATAATTTATATTTGCATGCATGGGTAAACTTCTGCCAGTACTCATCAATACTGAGTACCTGGTGGTATTAATACTGGGACGTATTTGAGCTGTTTTTTTGGATGCGTTCCATTGTTCCATCAGAAAGAATTTATTAATTGACATTCAAATTGTCATTTTCTATGTTTACACATAGATTTTTCTTTTTCAAAAACTGGTCCACTTCACCCAGCTGAGTACCTTTATTTTTTTTTTAGAACTTCACCCTTGTTTGCATGTGTAGTATCGCTCAAGTTAGTCAAGGAAAACATGCTTAAGATTTTAGACATCAGCTTCACTTTTCCAAAGTTGTTAAGTGAAAGTATGCTTCAACTTTGCATGAATACAGCTGCTCTGCTCATCTTTGTACCCATATTCATTCAGAAGTTTTATGTTTACATGCAAGGCTGAGGTGATATTTGTGCCAGTTCTGTATACACTTGTAGTACGTATTGAGTTGGTTTAGTGCCAAGTTGGTGTATACACATTACAAAGACAGCATATCTGTGAACTTCATTCAAACATCAGGGCTTGAAGTAAAATTCCAACAAGACACAGCAAAGTGAGAAAACAGCTTAGTCTGAGGGGAAATGCAATTTCTAAAGAAACTAGGCTAATTAGGGGGTGGCTGGGTCAGCTCAGTGCACAGCCAGGCCGATCCAGAAGGGTTACTCTACAGGTGGGATCTTGATTTGAATTCACTGAAAATTTTTACCACATTTTTCCAAGTCAAAGTGCCTGCATGAGCCAAACTAAGTTTAGGGGGGCCCATCCCACATGATCCAGCATTTTGTTGGGTTGTATGGTATTTATTGTAATATTGATACACCAGTGTGTGCTGCCATGTAAAATACTGTTCAGTGTAATGGCTATATGGGTTGTGAATGATGAAAGAGCTATTAAGTATACTATTATGTATAGAATTACACAGAATGTACAGATAATGAAGAGCTGCAAGATATGATAAAAGCTGTTTGTGAAGGTTCTAATGTGAGGGGGAGGTAAAGAACCAAGCCCTCTCATCAACTTACCAAATTTTTCAATTGTATGGGGTTTTCCTGTTGACTTCATACACTGTGTCCTTTTTGGTGTAAGCAAGCAATTAACAGGATTATGGTTTGACCCTCTAGCACCTAATAATCTGACACACTTAGACAGCTTTCTGAAAGAAGTACACCTCCCTAGTTTTATCTCTCGAACACAAAGTTCGATTTCATAAAGGAAGTTCTGTAAGGCAACTGGCTTCTTTTCTTAGCCTTGCCTTGCGGCTGTCCTCCCAAATGAATATTTCAGTAATTTTTGTCTACTTCTTGAGGCAATGTGTTTAATTCTTCAGAAATCAGTTTCAAAAGCAGATGTGAACAAGGCTTTGTTGCAAAGATGAAAGTCCTGTATGGTGCAGAGTGCATGACCTTTAATAACCATTCCTTGACCCACTTAGCAAAAAGTGTGCAAGTCTGGGGACCTCTTTGGTCACACTCATGTTTTCCATTTAAAACAGCAAATTTCGAAATAAAAGACCTTCTCCTTTGAAATTGAGGTAAAATGATGCAAACTTTGTACAAACTTTTAATGATCAACTCGCCCTCTGCCTTTAGACTAGCATATATAATATCTAACCAGAAGGTGTTTTGTGAAAGCTTATTGTTTACAAATAAATCACTGCCATCACACGTATTGGTTGAAATTTAGTTATTTGGGGTGTGACAATTATCTTATTTAATACCTCCAGAAATAACTGCTCTAGATGGAAGTGGTTTTTTCATTTAAATGAAGCATGTATACACTCATTTCCAAATTTACTTTACATTTAAAAAATAAAATTGATGAAAGAAATAGTGATAAATAACTGATCATTGACTTAAAATTTATTTAATTTACTCTACAACTCTTTAGTACTTTAAATTATAACACATTTGTAGAATAAACATACAAATAACAAAATAATTAATTTCTATGCCTCTCAAATTATTCCTACTGTTTACATAACATGTATTTTTTTTCATACTGAATGAAGTATGTACTTTAATTCCAGGCTGTATTTTGGAACTTCACACAAGTTGTAGATTGTTTTTTTTATTGATTGCTGTATGTTGTTTTAAGCACCTTATTTTACTTTTCAGTTTAAATTATTTAAATATAATGGTTGTTGTTATGGGGTATAATATATATATATATATATATACATTGTAATAAGGAGGAGAGACTGAACTACTTTGAACAGACTATTTAAACATTATCTGAATATAGTCACAAGTTGTAATAAAATTATAAAATAAGTGGTGCTTTAAAACAAATAACTAATCAAAACTTTGGAACAAACAAATACAGGTAATACTAAAACCAGTAAAAGAAATAGTTAATTAAACAGGAAATATGGAATAAACAACCACACATAACATTAAAACCAATGAAAATGATGCTTCAAGTGAGTCATGAAATAGCACTGCAGATGATTTGAAGAACTAAATAAACAGTAGTTTTCAATGAATTATCAGGTGAATGGACTGGTTATAACATTAAAAAATTAATAAATAATTAATATCAATGTTTTATATTTAAACAATTTTAAAAACTTTATTGAAGACATCAACAACTTCCACTTTAAGAGCACACTCTACATGTACATGTTTCAATGTCCTCTACATTTTTGAAATTGTGTAAATATAAAACATTAATTTGAATTATTTATTACATTTTAAATAATACACAAGTGCCGATCATTCATATACATGGTTAAACTATTGTCCTAGAGAATGATCAATGTAAAGTATGTTCTGAAGCAATGTACCTCAGAACAGGTTGCACTCTTTAAACTTGACTTCTCACAAAAAATTAATCATATCTGTGAGTCTAATGAGTCTAATATGTGTGACTCAGTGTGAAAGGGACCATATCATTTATGTTTGAAGTTCTAAAAATCTACTCTGTGAGGGATGTGTTTAATATTTGTGGTTCAGTATGAAAGGGACCATACTATCAAAGTTTGAAGTTGTAAAACACCCATCACACAAAATTAGTACACTGATATAAAATTATTGACAGAATGTTTTGTTCTCTGCTATGTGGTAAACTGAGAAAAGTAAGACAACAAAGAATACTGTCACCAAGAGTAAGAAATTCTGTATAAATTTGTGAAATTGATGAGCAGCAGCATATACTCTGTAGGACACAGTGCTACAACTTAGATAGGTGTAAAGGAAATGCAGGTTTTTGCATAGTCTAATACAAGTATCTAATTTTTTGAAATGTAAAAGAAATATATAGTTTTTGTTTTGTTTTTCCATTCAAAGGTACCAATCATTGTGTTAGGCAACAAACTAGATCAACAGAGAGACAGACAAGTTGACATTGACAAGGCAAAAATCTGGGCACTGAGAGAGAAAGGTCGGTATTTATATACCAGTTGCTTCACGATAATTCTCTTAAGATATTTAATCACTGAAATTTCTGCAAAAAATAACAGCATTTATATGGATTTACATGGATGGAATGACACATAGAAGCTTGTTGAATGAGAACAATAAGAGAAAATCCTTTGATAATAACTTAATTTGTATTGTGAAAGAAAATAAGTTTATATTTGTTCAAATCATATCTTGTCAGTTGTTTTATGATCAGGCCATTAACAAAATAATGTGTACCATGTACATGAAAGCAAGTTACAGCTAAAAGTTTAAAAGGAGACTTACTTTTCATGGAATTATTTTCTGTTAAAACATATTGAAAGGACAATTTTCTTAGATATTTAAGATGGCTTACGTATAGTAAAATAGGTAAAAGCTCTAAATAAAATCATACATGTTTACATAATTAGGAAGTATAGACACATTACCATTGACATCTCATAATGAGACATTCATAATACCTTATAACATGTGAAGTTTAATCAGACAAATTTATTAAATCAAGAGGTACTTGTATATGTATTTTATGAAACTCTCAAAAAGGGGAAGAGTAAAAAATTTGTAGACTTTCTTTTGTATTCACATTTTCTCTATTCACTATGGTAGTATTAAGTTTATAAATTCTGTTTTGTCAAAATGTTAAGACATATTAGAGAAAAATGAAGTATTCTTTAAATGTGTGGAGTTTTGAGGTTGTTTTACTAAATTAAGATCTTTGATGTTGTTTTGACCATTCTATGATGTTCCTTTTTTTAAGAATTAATGACAATATCAATGAATTCATTTCATTTTAATAATATTGCAAGATGAAAGAAGTTATGTTTGTTGTTTAAAAAATTCTACTGTATGTTAAAAGAAGTTGTGTTTCAAGTTTAGCAAAAGCTACTGTATGATGAAAGAAGTTGTTTATAGTTTAATATGAGCTACTGTATAATGAAAAAGTTATGTTTATAGTTTAATATAAGCTACTATATGATGAAAGAAGTTGTGTTTATAGTTTAATATAAGCTACTGTATAATGAAAGAAGTTGTGTTTGTAGTTTAATATGGATTATCACATGGTGAATGAAGCTGTGTACATAGTTTTAACATAAACCATCACTTGGTGAAAAAACTGGGTGTATATGTAGTTTAATATAAACTATCACTTGATGAAAGAAGCTGTATATATATAATATAAAATGTACTATCATGTGGTGAAAGTAGATGTATATGTGTAGTTAAATGGTAAGAGAAGCAGTGTATGTAGAGAAATATAAACTATCACATGATGAAAAACATTAATTTTTCCTCACTCTTAACTGAAACCTTACTCATGAATTAAAACATTAGAAAAACTAGAGAGTATTAGGTTTAATGTCCATAAAATCACCAACATAATTTGTTTATTTCTTGAGCAATTTGTTGAATTTTTCAGTGAAACTCTACGAAGTAAGTGCTGCTGAAAGAAAATCACTGCTGGATCCTTTTATTTTCCTGACATCTAAGATGAACCCACCACCAGGTTGGATGTTCTGTCACTGTGTTTACTTCACAAGTATAAGTGTTAGAGAACTGTTGATCAGAGAAAATTAACACATTGATATTGAAAATTATTTAAAATGGTCAAAGATAAACAAGACTAGTGTAGACATTCTAAATAAACTGTAAAAGCAAAGATTATTAGAATAAAATAATTTCAACTAAATAAATCAAAAATGATTAAACAATAAACATATCTTATTATCCTAGTATAAAAGTAGTCAGATGTTAATAAAAACATTGTAATTGAGAAAATATAGTCAAAATCATTTTCTAAAATTACATTTCTTGTCAACAAATTTTATTTTCAGGCAAATCAGCATTTCCTCAGTTGGGAAGAAAAGGAAGGAGCAGTAGTATCACCATGGAGCTTTAATTGAGATATTTGAGAAAAATTGGCAACATTGCCAGAGAGCTTTTATTGAAACATTATTCAAGAAAAATGAGTAGTTTCACCATGGAGCTTTAACCCCTTCCATGATTTGCTCAAGTTAATTTGGGCATGCCATTTCTCGACAAACTTTAATTACTTGGCTGAAGTTATCATGTTATCATCTATTATAATAAGCTATCAAAAAGCAAAATTAAAAAATCCTGCCTTTTTTTTAGATCATTTCCAAAAAAAATGACACAGAAGAGGTTAATTGGGACACTGGTTGAGAAAAAATTGTAGCATTATCATGGAGATTTAATAGGTATGTTGTATGAGAAACATTAATAGCTTTAATTGAAACAGTGTTCATTTAAAATTAGTAGCAATCCCTTGTTATTTATTGTTTTTAATCTTTATTATTATGACACTGACTGTACCAAGTGACTACTAAGCAATGGTTCAGGTTTTCAAAATTAAAAAATAATCAAGAATCAATCTTTAAGCTTTACCTAATTGTGTGGATTTTGATTTACTGAATTAAATATAGAATCATTAGGTAAAAAGAAGCTTTTCAATTATTTATTTTGTAGCCTTTCTCAACCTATTAAGTGTTCATTCTCTATTCATTTATAACAATTAATAAAGAACTAACATACAGACATGTTAATTTTAATGAATCTCCCATTCACTTTAGTTAAAGAGGCTGCAGTAAGATGAAAGTATTGAAAACAAAACATTGATCACCTGCGTTAATTACAGCTTGCAAACATCATTACTATTATTGACCCAAGTTATATTTTAAATAAATGTCGCAATCTAAGAAGAGATGTATAGCCATTTAGGTCAAGGAAGAAGTGTAATTCAGCAAATTTTTAGTCATGAGACCAGGATGACTATTTTGGTTTGCATAGTTCAATTTGTAGATGTTGTTTATGACTAGATTTTCATTGTCTTTCATTTATCAAATTCTTTTTAATATTCTGTAAACTTGTGGTTTGCACCCTACTGACTATAAAGAGGTTGTGATACTACTCATTAAATATTTTGACAGAACTAGAATGTAGTAAGCCAACATTGTTTTACTGCTTTTAGAATTGAGTTGTTAACTTCAGTGTTAATTATTAGCCTATGTATATCATATGTTGATAATAGATTAAACAAAATGCTGGATATTATTCATTAGCTTTCCGAATATGTCATTTATTATAATTAATGCTTTATTTTCTTTGAGCTTAAAAGAATGTGCTTTTCAATGTAAATCAAGAAGTCCTATACAATTAATGTAAAACAATTTTTAACAATTTGTTGTTATTGGTCAATAAAGGCAATAAGGTTGATTTAAAACATATTTGGTGACATGTACAAGTAATACTGCTTTTAAATTTTCTTTAATAACTGTGTAGTTATTTAGTTCAATGTAAAGTATTACATAATAAAGCTAACTTAATATATAAATACAAGATGAAGGCAAATTATTATATTGTTTTTAATTTAGCTAAATATCAGTTAATGGTAATTTTTAAAAGTATTCTTATTTATTGTATTCAAAGTACTAGTAATTCATTGACGTATATATTAAATGAAAACATTCCTTGAGGTTAAAAAATTCTAAAGCTCTCACCCCATGATTTTATTTCAATGTACAAAAAACATTAAATGTGAAACTTCATCCATTTTGGTCAATATTTAGATTTACTCAATGAGTTTGAAGTTCTAGACTGCAGTGGTCTTGGTACTGTATGTACTGTGTGATATGCAAACATGTTTGTTTTATATTATAAATGACTTATTTAAAATATATTATTATATTATTGCATGTATAATCACATAATTATATGATTTTGGCATGTGTATTCACTTTTGCATTGTTATTGTTTCCTTTTTGCTGTTAGAGAAACATTTTCTGTGATCCTGCACAACATGGAGGAGGAATTGTTTCTCATTTTAAATGAGTTCCTCATTGAGATGCCATAAATGTCCAGCAAATATTTGACAGGCAGATTTTGTAGGAAATTAAGATCTTTGTGAGGAGCAGAAATGGCATCAGGAGCTGAACCATGCCCAAAGATAGACTTGAACAACAAAGATGCATATATCATAGAGTCCTCTTTTCTCACAGCCAGTGAGCTTAAACTGTCCCATAAACATCCAGATCTTGAAGGCATATAATGCCTTGGCCATCCATCATGAATAATGCACTGCTCCAGGTACTAGAAATCCCACTCCACAAGGAGGGATGCCACCAAGAAAGGTTATGGCCAGTTCAAGTTTCATTCAAGGATAGCTGTTTCTACTTTGCATGCCGTTTCTTTTCCATACTTGCGTAACTTCTTTTCTCAGCTCTTAATTTATTTAAAGAAAGAACCTTATCTACTTGGCCCATGCACCCACAACATCCTCTTTCCCTCTAAGGAAGAGAAAGGTCCTTGTCTTCAGGGGTCTTGTTCAGAGTCAGAGCATCCCTATGAGTGAGATCAAAAAAGGTTATCCAGGTTATTAACAAACTTTGCTTTATTATCTCACTATGTTTCAGTTTTTCTTTTTGAATTTTTATTCAGCTTCACCCACTTTTAAAAAAGCTTCCCTAGTTTGATAATAGCATGATGTTCTGAACAGATTGGAATTTTAGCTTTTTTTCCAAAAAGCTACAGTCCCCTTGGTCATAATCTTTGAGCTTTTTTATGTTTTATGATTGTAGAAAACATACATGGTACTTGTCTGTTTGAAGGAAAATTGCTTCCAATTTGTTCAGCTTTTTCTGAACCAAGCAATTAAAGTATAGTCGTACTTTTTGTTGCAGTATCCATTTACAATGATATGCCAATAGTGTCAGCTGAAATGATACAGAAGAATCTGCTTAAGTGCTTATATACCCTTACAGAAATTCTTGAAACTACTGTCATGTCATATAGAATATTCCATAAGTAAAAGGTAACAGCATGAACTATTTATATATGGAATGTTCTTGAACATTCCAAATAATGTGGAATGCTCTGGAATATTCCAAAATATGCTGGAACATTCTAGAATATGCAGGTATAATGTGAGATACAGGGTAAAACTTCAATTACCTTGAGCAACCTCTAAACGTTATTCAATATGGATAAAATTTGGTGTGAATTATTTATATAATTGAACAAAATGAGGGGGTGAGAGTGTTATAAATAAAAAAATATGGATTACCCCCAGAATTGATGCAATTCAATTGTACTTTTAACAGTGTGGAAGGGGATCATCCTGCTGGAATAACCTGTTAGTTTGTAATGTTTTCAATTGTTGCAAAGAAATAATCTACAGTGTCAAGGTACATGTTTCTCATAACAGTTGCTTCTAAGAAAATGAATAGACTAATGACAGTGTTATGGGTAATTGGTGCCCAGGTGTTGACTTTTGAACTCTCTCTCTCTCACAATTTGATGTGCTGCAAAAAAACAACAACTAAACATTATTCTTGCAAGTTCAACAAACTGTGTGTCTATATGTTAAATGGTTTGTCCTGGTATGATTTTTCAAAATTCTTGGACACAGTGCCTTAGAGCCACATAAATGGTATCATGAACCACAATAGTGGTTCATAATAGGGTTTGCCCAGGCATTTCACAAAAATTCTCATAGAACATAGGGGCAAAAACCATCTTGTTCTTGAAACAACACTCGAGACCTTCTATCACGATGGCTAAGGCTGCGAAAATATTGATAACAGTAAAAAAGTTAATTTTCCAACTGTTAGACAAAATTCATCCATTTCTTCTTCCTGTTATTATTATTATTCATATTATCCTTGTTTAACAAGCTTTTGGAAAAAATGGATATGAATATTTTATTCAAACCTACTATAAAAAAACTCCTGTGCAGGTCATAGGACTATTTTTATGTTGATTCTTGAAAGAGGAGAGATTGTATCAGTTTTTTCATTGCAACTGGCCAAGTTTCTCTTCAAAGCCATTTAAGCACCTTAGCCTACAGCAAAAATGGCTAGGTATACTGCACCAAAATCTATGCACAGCTACTAAATAAACTCCTATGAAGGTTGTAGGACTATTTTTAAGTTGAGTTCTTCTTCATTACCAACATAAGCCATTCAAGCATTGCGGAAATGAAGAAGCCATTTGAGCACTTTTATACTAGTTAAAAATGCTCTGTTTTATACTAGTGTGAAATGCTTTATTTTATTAGAGTAAAAAATGTGTATATATATAACAGTATCTCCAGCCTTATTATTATTGATTATAGTTTTACAAGCTGCTACAGGAAAAATGGCTACGAATATTTTACTAAAACCTGGACACTAGTAATGAATGCAGTATTGAGTATGTCACAGGGTAGTTTTAAATTTATTTCAAGCGCCTTCGTTTTTCTGCCCTGAAGAATTTCTCTGTAACTCCTTCACTTTTCGCCATTGAAAAAATCCAGTGTTTTACTAAGACGCATTAATTGGAAAATAATTTTGCAACTTATTATGCATTAATTGGAAACTGTCACATTGTGGATTCATCATTTCTTATGTTTGCTGTTGTACTTTGTCTCTATATGGTTTTCTGCAACTATTTCAATGAGTTTTCTAATAGTAGACAATTACCTTAGTAGATTTCTCTACTCTTGTGAGTGGTGATTTATTTTACTTCACTTGTTAAGCGTGTGTTTGCACAAAACCTCAGGCACAAAATCACCTTGCTCAGTAAATAAAGATTGGGTGGATTCAAAGCCAATGCAGTAGTAAACTGTTGAAAAACATGTAACATTCAACTGAAAGCATATGCACTTAGGTAGCTTAAAATTTATTTTTCATAAATGGATACAAAAAACTTAAAACAAGATAATTTAAAAAGGGGAATAGGGATTGTCAAAAAAGTATGGAAACAAGTTGAATCAAAATGCAAAGACTATATTTTCAGCCCTACAACTAGAGGCTTTAAGAAGAAAAATAGTAAACAAACTAGGCTGGAAATAGTGTCTACATTATTTTCTCAAGCTACAAATCCCTATTTTGACTCCATGTTTACAGTACTTATCAATTTCAGTGGAATCAAATTAGGAATTTGTAACTTGAAAAAATAATGTAGACACTATTTCCAGTCTAGTTTGTTTACTTTTTTTTAGAGTCCCTACTTGTAGGCTTGAAAATATGGTCTTTGCATTTTGATTCAACTTGTTTCTGTACTTTTTGATGATCCCTGTTCCCACTTTTAAATTAACAATTGTTAATATCTTGTGTTAATGTCAGACCATTGATATTTATACAGTAAAGTTTCATGGCTTAGTCTGTAATGTTAAAAATGTGTAATCTTGAATAGTTTTTAGTACAAGTAACTAAATAGCATTGATTTAATTTAGATCCAGATCTCTTTGTAGTAGTATATACATAACTGTAAATTGATTTACGTTAACCAGTTAAAGGTATACAAATTTTATATGTTGTAGGTAATAGTCCATTGTAATGAAAGCTATTTAAAACATTTTATACAGGACTATACAGATTGTAAATAGATGTGTAGTGAATAACAATACACTTGAAACTAAATATTTTGTTTTAGAATTTGATGTAAACAAAAATAATTGACCCTATTGTGGCCTTGCCATTTTAAACTTTTTGGAATATGTATATTTATATTTTTATAATTGAAAAATAAATTATGAAAACCAGTTTTATGCCCCATTTTTTGGATGATTCTATGTTTTTATTATTATTATTCCTTTCAGAAAAAAACATTATAGGCTTAGATACAGCATAGCATGTTCTTAGTGAAGCCAAATATTTTTTTATTTTCACAAAATTAAAACTGTTGATGACAGTTAACTTCTGAAACAAATTACTCTTACACTTAAAGTTTATAACTAAAATGTTCCTAGTTCTGAATGAGTTCTCATTGTTGGTCTCCATAAGGTAATCAAACTTCAAGAACTATATTTGCACCTTTAAAACATTTATTGATAAATAATTATGATTAGTAATGTGTGTTGTCTGATGTTGTACATCAGTATAACCAATCATAAGTTTTTTCTGTAATTATAAAGACCTTGGTCTGAAGGAACAAATGCATTTTCAGTACAAATTTAGTATTTTATTACTAAATTTGCCAGATTACTTTTTTGTGCACTGACGTCATTATTGTAATATTACGGAATACTGTTATACTTTATCCATTTATAATTGCTTACACACCTATAAACAATGTGAGGATCAAAAATGTTATATACAAAACTGGTTATATAGTAATGTGCACAATAAATATAAAATTACTATTTTTCTGATTAGTAATTATCTTTATCAAGGTACTTTTTTCTTGCCCTTTGCCAAATCTCAATTTCCTGATAACCTTCCAAATAGTTATTAAAAAAAAAAAAAGAAGGTAAAATTTCAGATGCCGGTATATGACCACAGTTACCAAACCAGCAATTCATGTGAAATGCACTATTCCAAATAATTCTTACATTCACATGTAGACACAAATAATGTTTATTGCACTTTATGATTACATTCTCTTATCTATGGAGAAAAACTTAATTTCTACAAAACTGAGAAACTTTCATATATACTATTGAGAGCAGCATGGGTCTCAAACATCTTCTAGATGATAATGATCCTGAAAAAGAATTCTGGTTTAATTAAAATGTTTAACATCTTTTGTAAATTTAATCATTCTGACGTAAAAAGGTTATGAATGAATTCCTTAACTTCAAAAATGTAAACAGTGTAGGTAATATTTACTCTTAAATCCAGTGACTGTGTTTAGTTACAATCTTAAATTGAACTTTGTAAAAAATTGGAGGCCCGGCATGGCCAGGTGGTTAAGGCACTCGACTCGTAATCTGAGGGTCGCGGGTTCGAAT